TTATTATTATTATTATTATTATTATTATTATTATTATTATTATTATTATTATTATTATTATTATTATTATTATTATTATTATTATTATTATTATCTTAATGAAAACATCTGCCTCAGTTACTGAAGCCTATTTTCTTCCAGTAGCATGGTGATTAAAAAGGTTACTAGCTTGAAATTATTGCAAAAAAATCTTATATTATGTTTTTACATTATGTTGTATTGTTATGTTACGTTAGGCTACCCAACTCCTAAATAGCAACCCTAGGTGGGTAATATAGAGTAAAACACAAAACAATAACAATTTAAAACAAAGGGGCATTTCCAAGACAGCACAACTAAGGTCAAACCCCAACATATTCAAATCCCCAAAACATTAAAGGATGTACTTATTTAATGTTCTAGCCAAATATTTAAAGGAAATGTTTCAAGGCTTAGTGAAAAGCAAAAAACCTGAATAGTATACTTATTATAAGCTAAGAATATTTCCCAAAGTGGCTTCAGTTAAATACTCTGAAGTTAAAATATTATCATTTTCTTGGGGTTCAAGTTAAATAGGCAAGACATCAATGCTCTTTTTATATAGCATAATTCTGGTGTAGAAGACATGGCAAAATAAATTGATCTCAGCCCCTTTACTTCTAATTTTTTTATATTCCATTCTTATTTCTTCAATAAAGATAAACTAATCTAACCTAAACAAAACTAATTTAAGAAACTGAATAGACAGGAACAATATAGAACTGAACAAAATTCTTTTCAGATTCCACATTTTAATTTGTAGAACAAATGCAAGTAGGGCAATACTTACAGTTTTGGATGCAGATATATCAGATTTTATATTTTATATCAATATCATCTCTCAAACAACAATGAATAAAGATACTTACTAGAGACTTCCGGTGGCAGGCGATTTCGCTGGTCGCAGCTGTTTGCTGCCTCCCGCCTGTTTTGCGTAAAAGCCGGTTTGACAGCCAGCATCAGCTGTCAAACGGCTTGATACCTTTCCCCTGGGCATAAGGGGATAGGTGAGCTGCCCGGGGTAGGAGTTGAGTTCCCGAGTCGTCCTATATGGACGATGTAGGCGA